AAAGTCCCCATGTACTTCAAAATATTTACAGCAGTATTTTTGGCAATAGCAAATGATTAGAAACAAAGCAGATGCCCATTGACCGAGGAATAACTAAACAAATTGTGATACATGAGTGTGATAGGGTACTCTTGTGCTATAAGAAATGTTGCATGTGACTACTATAGAGAAGCGTGGAAAGATACATGTGAACTGATGCAGAGTAAAATCAGCAGAGCTAAGAAAACAACATACATAGCAACTACAATGATGTGATTGGACAGAACTATGTATACTCCCAGAATCAAAAGTAAATGTAACAAAGTTATAAAGATCAAGTGGGACTTTAACAAAAAAATATGAAAAGAAACCCCCAACCTACCCCTTGGTGGAGGTGGGAGATCCACAGGTCTTACACGTTGCACGTGCTTTTGGACTTTCTCAATGTAATGATCAGTTATGTTGATTTTATTTTTCTCTCAAAAACAACCCAGTATTTGTCATATGGGATGACTCTTGGAGAGGAGAAGGGAGAAGTACTATGGTGATGTGAGAAAAAGAAAATATCAATAAATAATTATTTTAAAAAGGTATTAAAATCAACTGTATAAAATTTATTTCTGGTCCTGTTCATTTCACTCTGCATTAGTCCACACAAGTCATTTCAGATTTCTTTGAATACATCCCTTTCTCAAGGTACATTAATATTCCATTATATTCATACACTATAATTTCTTCATTCCCCAATTGATACGTACATCTATAGTTTTAAGTTCTTAGGTACAACAAAAAGTGCTGCTATTAATGTTTGTACATATCCTTCTCTTATCTCTTTTGGGTATATGCCTAATGGTGGCAACACTGAGTCAAAAATGAACAATTTAGTGATTTTTTGGGTGTAGTCCCACATTACGATAGAATGATTGAACCACTTCACATTTCTATCGGCAGTGTCTTTGTATGACTGTCCTTTCATAGCCCCTCCAACAATGGCCTTTTTTCATTTTTGTCATCTTCGCCAATTTGATGGATATAAGGCAAAACCTTGGAATTGTTTTCATTTGTATTTCTCTTATAGTGATTTGGAACATTTAAAAATAGAATTGTTGAGAGTTTCTTTTTTTCTTTTGAGAATTGCCTGTTTATATGCTTTGGCCATTTATCTATTGGGGAATAGCTCTTGGTTGTATGTATTTAGTTCATTTCCCTATATCTCTCTCTCTCTCTCTCTTTTTTTTTTTGGTTAGGCAATGGGGTTAAGTGACTTGCCCAGGGTCACAAAGCTAGTAAATGTCAAGTGTTTGAAGCCGGATTTGAACTCAGGTCCTCCTGACTCCAGGGCGGTCCTCTATCCATTGTGCCACCTAGCTGGCCCCCCACATCTCTTCTAAACTATTAGAATAGTTTTCAATTGGTCTTCCTGTCTCAAGTCTCTCCCCACTCCAATCTATCCTTCATACAGTTACCAAAGTAATTTTGCTAAAACGCAGGTCTGACACCCACCACTACACAATAAACTCCAGTGGCTTCCTATTCCTTCCAGGATCAAATATAAATGCCTTTGTCATTTAAAGTTGTTCACAATCTGGTCCCATCCTATCTTTCTAGTCTTCTGTCTTGAGCTCCTGGGAGATCACAACACTCAATACTTAGAGAAAGCACCAATAGGACCTTAGAAAATAAAATTCAGGACTAAACAAGGTCCCAACATTCCCTTTAGAGGAACCTAGAGCTTGTCCTTAATACAAAGTTCCAATTCATGATGTAAGGGTGGAAAAATGAGTTAATAAAAACAATTCCTACAACAAAGAACTATTATGGTACCAGGGATATATAAGACACAAACCCAGAAAAAAAGAATACCACCAAAACATTTACAAGCAAAGCCTCAAAGAAAAAAACAACTTGGCTCCAGTTTCAACTAGAATTTCTGGAAGAAATTATGAAAGAATTAAAATGATATTACAAATTAAATGAACACTATGGGAAATAATTAGAAAAGAAATGAGATCTTTGCAAGACTCTTAGAACTAACAACTTAGTAAAAGAGGTACAAAACCTTACCCAATTTATAACAAACTCCTTGAGGAATGTATTAAAAAGTAAAATCTAATAATATGTTTACAAGAAATACAAAGTATTAAAATGAGAGGCTAGAGCTAAAATAATTATGTTTCAACAGAACTAAATAAAAGGTAATTTAGAGAACACCTAGGCTACCTTCTTTTAAAGGTAGTGTCTGCCATTTCTCTGATTTCCACTCAGACCTACACTCTTCAGGGACTTGAAGTAGGGTTTAGAGAAAGTATTGGAGCTATAAAGTGACGGTACTGTAGTTAATTTTTTATTTGAGTAAGGCTTTTAAGAATACAGAGAGCTGCTTTTCTGGCGGCAAAGAATTGGAAATTGAGGGGATGCCCATCAGTTGGGGAATGGGTAAACAAATTGTTGTATATGATTGTAATGGAATGCACTCAGAAAAACTTGGAAAAACTTACTCGAACTGATGCAAAGTGAAATGAGTAGAACCAGGAGAGCATTGTACACAGTAACAACAATGTTGTAAAATGATCAACTGTGAATAACTTAGCTATTCTCAGCAACACAATGACCTAAGACAACTCTGAAGGACTTAGGATGAGAATGGTATTTATCCCCAAAGAACTGATGGAGTCTGAATGCAGATCGAAACATACTTTTTTTTTTACTTTATTTTTCTTGTGTTTGTATTTTGGTCTGTGTTTTCTTTTACGGCATGACTAATATGGAAGTATGTTTGGCATGACCACACATATATAACCTACATGAAATTGCTTGCCTTCTCAATGAGGGGCATGGGGAGGAAGGGAAAGAATTTAGAATTCAATTTTAAAAAACAAATGTTGAAAATTGTTTTTACATGTAATTGGGGGAAAATAAAGTACCAAATAAAAAAAAATACAGAGAGCTGAATGCTTTGAGAGATAGGCACATGGGGGATAGAAGAGAGAGATTTGGGAGAAGAGACACAGCCCAGAATCTATAGCACTCTAGGAAATCTCTCCTCCTAACCTTCTATTTAATCACACATTTGTTTCATTATGCCACAGTGCCCCCCCTCCCCCAGTGCTGGAAAACCTCCAAATATATGCCTATTCTTTGCGCATTAAGATTTTAATCTACCAGAATCCCCTTCAGGTAACCACCCAGGAGAGTTAACACAAGATAGCCCTTTTGCATTCAAAAGGAATTGTTATCCATGGGGTTGCCAACACCAATTGCTAGTGCCCAGAAAAACTGAAGGGGCCAGAAAGGGATTCCTGTAGCTATATGGGTATAGAATTGGTACAGCTGTTCCGCAAATCAATTTGAAATGATGTAAGTTACTAAGCTCTTCATACCCTTTGACCCCGTGATTCAAGCAATCAATATTATCAAGTACTATGAAGGAAAGAATGAATGAAGCATTTGTTGAGTGCTACATGCAAAGCACTGGACTGAGCGCTGAAGATACAAACAGAAAAGACAGTCCCTGCTTTTTATTGTCTCACATTCTAATGGAGAAGAAAACACCTAGGGAAGGTTCCAGCTCCAAGTCTGAGAAGCTGGTATTGTCTCTAATGGCATTTCTATCGAAAATATTCTCTAGTCCTGACGCGTTTGACAGCACCGAGGATTTTGGTAACTAGAACTAACCTTCTTGGGTTTTCAGCAGCTTCGGCTAGAGCATCAGCGGAATCAGTTACCAGGCTGCATCCCTACAGGGGCTGCTGCGCAGGACGATATCTGAGGGCACTGGGCTGGAAAGATCGTCATTTTTAAAGATTTTAATATATATTTAATTTATATTTATTTCCCAATTACATGTAAAAAATGTTGACATTTTTGAGTTCCAAATTCTCTCCCTTTCTTCTGCCCCTCTCCCATCCTTTGAGAAGGTAAGCAGTCTACGATATCATTACACATGTGAAATGAAGCAAAACATATTTCCATATTAGCCAAAGTGTTGTTGTTCTTCTTTTTGAGGCAATCGGGGTTAAGTGACTTGCTCAGGGTCACACAGCTAGTAAGTGTCCGAGGCTGGATTCGCACCCGGGTCCCTCCTGACTCCAGGGCCGGTATTATCAGCATGGCTAGTCTTGAAGGGATGTGCAAAGGTGGCGTAGGGGGTGTTTGTGCTGAGCCTTGAAGTTCTGCCTGGAGGGCAGCCCAGACATAAGGTAAACCATTTTTGTCTATTTAATCTCAGAGGCTAGGACAGAGCTCAACACATAGTGGGGCACTTGATCAGATGCTGGTCGAATGAATGAACCTGGGCCAGGGCTGGGGGTGGGGAGCAGTTGCTTCTGCAGTTAAGAAGCATCTTTCGTTTCTTCAGCTGCGTGTGGCACGACTTGGAGCCCAGGTAACAGTGCTGGCGGACGCAGTACGTAGCCTCCGCAGGTGACGTCCTGATGCTGTAGTTGCATTTTCCCAACACTGACACTTGGGATTCAATTCGCACTACTTACAGATGAAGAAACTGAGACTCGGAGAGATTGAGGGACCTGCCCAAACCTCGAGTTCTTTGCGCTACAGCGGAGGGACGTTGCCTCCCTCTTTACCTGGGACACCTCCTCTCTCGGCTCCGGGATTGCTCCTGGATTGCGCTCAATGAGCGCTTTGCAGCCCGCTTCCCAGGACTTGGCCCCAAGAGACCCCCTGGGTTGGGCCTTCCCGAGAGTGGCCGGGGAGGGGGCCAATGGGAGGTGAGCACAAGCCTCGCCCCGACCCTGCATAAGCCCAAGGGCCGCGCACCTGGGCTCCAGACTCCGGGCTTTGCCGCACTCTCGAAGCCCCAGCAAGTGTCCGCGCGGGCGACCCGAGCCCCTGCTCAGGTGCGTGAGCCCTCCTTGGGCTCGAGGGCTGGGGGGCAGGTCGCTTCCGAGCCTCGGCTCTGAGGGGGGACGTTGTGCCCCGCGTGTTGCCGTGGCGACCCTGGCCGGGCTCTGTGCACGCTCATTGGCCCCGCCCCCCTCCCCTGGGGCGGGGGAATCCCTTAGCGGACTCGCTTCCCGCCCTCCTCTCTTCGCCCGCAGAGGGGCCCGGCAAGCGCATGAGCTTCAGGCCAGGTAGGGCGCGGGGCGCCAGGGCAGTGGTGTGGGGTGGTCGGGGAAGGAGGGCTCCCGGGGCTCTCCTGCCACCCTCGGCCGCGACGACAGGGTGGGCGATCCCGGGGCCGGCTCCTCGCCCTCCCCAGGCGTCAGGGCTGCTCTGGGAAGCCCGGGGATGGGGGTGAGGGGAATGACTGTCACCCCCCTCACCTCCCGCTGCGCGCGGAGCCCCCAGAAGCAGCAGCGAGGCTGACATCGTCCGCGCGTCCCCCCCCCTTCTGGGGGTCCCGGGCAGCGGGGCTGCCTGGGCCCCACGGAAGGCCCCAGCCTTCAGCGGGGGAGGGCTCCGGCAGGGGTTTGATCTCTGGCAGCCCGAGCTTTTGTTCTCTTTGGCCCGTCTGATGAATGGGCCGGGGCCGGGGCAGGGGCCCCTTCTCTTCCGGGGGCCTTGTCCCTTTGCCAGCGGGGACTCCCAGAGGCTGAGGAGTTAGCCCGAGCCTTGGGAGGCTCACCCCGCCGAGTGGCCAGGTGAATGGGCTTTTAGTTTGCGAGCACGGGGACTCCGGGAGAGCATTCTCAGGGCAGGTGCTCAGCGGAAGCTCTGGAAGGAGAGGGGGGCGATTGGAACGAGGCCCTCCGGGGCCTGCCGGGGTTTCTCGCCTCCTGCGGTGGGTACTGGAGCCCTGCGGCACCCGACCCCTCCTCCCTTTTCTTCCAGCCCCCGGGGGTGTGTGTGGGGGTGGGGGGCTCAGGCTTTCTTCTCGCTCCTCTTTCTGAACGGAAGCAAGACAACGAAAGTCATTCCCCACCCCAGAACTTCCAAAGCCTGTGGTTTCTGTGGAGAGCGCAGGGTTTGGAGTCGGGGACCTTATCAAGTTGCTCCAGCTCTCCGGGCCTCTCTTTCCTTCTCTGTAAGATGAGAAGTTGCAACAGATCCCTGGAGCTGCAAAAAAACCTCAGAAACCAGCTACGCCAAGTCCCCTCATTTTACAGATGAGGAAACTGAGGCCCGAAAGGTTAAGAGATTTGCCCAAGTAGTAAGCATCTCAGGCCCTTGGCGCCGCCCCCGGATCCCTTCCGGCCTTTCGTGCCTGGGTCCTGCCGGCCTCCTGAGTGGCAGCGGGGCAGCTCTGGGCCATTACGGGAGAACAAGTCCCGCTGTCTGGCGAGGTGGACACGGGTGGTCAGCCCTCAGTAATATACACTCTTCTTCACTCCACACGAGGGGGCTTCAGCCCGTTCAGTGGCATCTTTTAAGGAGAATTCTCTGCTTCTGCTTCGGTCTAGATCAGATTAGCCATTAAAGCTGTAGCCTGCAGGGACTGTTTCATTTTTCATCTCTGAAGCCCCATGCCCTTGCAGAGAAGGTATTTGATAAATGTTGGTTGAGTTGAATTGCCTCGGGTATCCTCTTCTCCCGACTTTTGCTCCTATTTCTTCTGCTGGAACTGCTCCCCCTTCCCCTCCCCCAGTCTCTGCCCATCAAAAGCCCACTGTCTTTCAAGGGTCAGTAAAAAGGCGGCCTTTGTGAAGCCTTTCCCAGTCTGTGGATCTCTTTCTCCGGTCCCTCCCTCCCTTCCACCCTCCAGTTCCTCTGTGACTTGTTTCTATCACTCAGTGTAACTTGGGTATGGGGGCCTGAGGCCTATTCATTTCCCTGCCTCTACTACACCTTGCATAGGGCCCATGTTTTTCCAATATTTGTCGAAGGAATTGACCTGATGTATTTTGCCTTTTCCAAATCTGAGAAGATGACTTAACTGGGAGAGTCAGTCAATAAACATTTATGAAGCACCTCCTATGGGCCAGGCACTGTTCTAAGTGCTGGGGATACAAAGAATGGCAAAAGGCAGCCCCAGACAACATATTAACAACTATGTAGATACAAGATATGTACAGGATAAAATAGTCAACAGAGGGACAGCTCTACACATTAAGGGGAAATCAGCAAAGGCTTCTTGTAGAAGATAGGATTTTAGCTGGGACTTGAAGAGGCTGAGGAAGGAGAGAATTCTAGGCATGGGGGCCGGCCAGTGAAAATACTTGGATTAGGAGATGGAGTATGAATGGAGTGAATTGCATTCCAAGTAAAATAGGTCTGTGATTTTTCTAACAGACTCTGCTTGGGGCCAATAGAATTTTTCTCCTTGGGAAGCTCAGAGCTCTTCAGACAGTGCCCCTAGACAACCGGCTATAGTTTAATTTCTTGGTTTTGTGTTTACAGCAGCTACGATAGAAAGGAATTTGATTTGGACTTACAGCCAAGCAAAAGTTAGGACTAGAACTCAGAATTGTCTCATCCGTCCATCCATCTAAGGCCACTGCACCTCAGCCCTAACCCAGCCTGCAGCAACTCATACAAAGGTCGGGTCAGGAAAATGCTTTCCATTAAATAAAGACCAGGACTCAGTTCTGGTCAAAGCCTGAGGCTGAGAGCTGACCGTAATCCAAGTCTCCAAAATCACAAAGGCCAAGTTAAACATGAATTCATATACCAAAAACAAGATCTACAAGATTTCCTTTCAGGTCTAAAAGGAACAAGTTTTAAGTTAGGAAATGAAACACTTCCTTAAAGTCTCAGTGGGGAATAAGCTTTAAAGAATTTCATTAGCCATCAGAGACCATCCAGATGGAAGCAGATCCACTAGGGGTTATTAAGGGAAGTTAATTCAATAAACATTTCTGGAGTGCCTACTTTTGCCAAAGAGGATCTTCTGGTTACAGTTTCAACCTCCTGAAGTCAACAACATAATGTTTAGAGCTTGCAGCTCCAAGCTAGGCTCTCAGTGTAGCAGGGGTGGGGAACCTGTGGCCTGGAGGCCACCTGTGGCCCTCTTGGACCTTAAGTTTGGCCCTTTGACTGAATCCAAACTTCACAAAACAAATCATAAAAAAATTGAACATAATGGGCACAAAATAAAATTAAGATAAAAAACAAAATAAAATAATTTGTTCCCTATCCCTGGTGTAGAATAGGCTGACAGACCCAATAGGGCATTTCTCATTATTTTCTGCATTTTTTTGGAGTACCCTTCATGGCACTGAGGGAATTTTTTATAAGTCAGCGAGCCCAGTTGCCTTCCTTGCTCATAAAGCTCTCCTCTCTCTGCAGGGTTGAGGGCCATTTGGGCCTCGAGATGTCCCCGAGACTTGGTTGGCTTGCCCTTTACAGTCTGTCAGTGACACTCTTCACATGTCTCCTCTTTTTGAAGAGGGAGGCCAAGCCAGCACAGCAGGTAGTAGGGGGCCCTGTGGTAAGGCATCCCTTCTGGGCACCTGCAGTGTCCCATCGAAGCCTGTGTCTGCCCAACTCTGAATCCATCAATGCATCCACAGTCCTGCCTGTCCGTCACCGCCTCTTCCTGACCTATAAACACTGCCGGAACTTCTCTACCCTATTACAGCCCACGGGCTGCCCTGCTGACACCTTCCTCCTGCTGGCAATTAAATCATTGCCTGCTCATGTGGACCGCCGAGCAGCCATCCGCAGCACCTGGGGCCGGGTCAGTGCCCTGCATGGGGGGCAGCAGCTAAAACTGGTATTTCTCTTGGGAGTTGGGGGAACTTCCCCACCCCCTCAGTTGTTGGTTTACGAGAGTCAGGAGTTTGATGACATTTTACAGTGGAACTTTACTGAAGACTTTTTTAACTTGACTCTGAAGGAGCTTCATCTCCAAAGGTGGCTGGCCGCCAGCTGCCCACAGGCCCAGTTTGTCCTCAAAGGGGATGATGACGTCTTTGTCCACGTGCCCAATGTCCTGGAGTTCCTAGAAGGGCAAGACCCCACCCAGGATCTCTTTGTAGGGGATGTGATTAGAGAAGCCCTTCCTAACAGGAACACCAGGGTCAAGTACTTCATCCCCCCCTCCATGTACCACGCTCAGCACTACCCACCCTATGCTGGAGGTGGGGGATATGTGATGTCGCAGGCCACAGTTCGAGGGCTCCAGGCTGCAGCGGAGGAGGTGGACTTATTTCCCATTGATGATGTTTTTGTGGGTATGTGCTTGCAGAAACTGGGAGTGAAGCCAACCCACCATGCAGCATTCAAGACCTTTGGGATTCGACGACCCCTGGACCCCCTCGACCCATGTCTGTACAAGGGGCTGCTGCTGGTGCACCGTCTCAGTCCCTTGGAGATGTGGACTATGTGGGCTCTGGTGAAGGATGAGGGCCTACGCTGTGCTGCCCTTCCCGCCCTGGCCCAACAGCCTGGCTAAGGGAGTGCCTGACAGGTCCAGACCGGTAGTGTTCAGAGGCTGGTAGGGGACTTAGCTATTGGTTACTTTCTAAAAAGGCTAAGAAAACAGAGAGCTTTTAAACTAATGTAGCTTGGTGGAAAATTATGTCCTAAACTGTAGTCCCACAGATTAACTTTGATTAAAAAAATACACAAAAAGAGCCTGGCTAATGGATGGGAGAGTGTGCAGTGGGGTTGGTAGCCCCACTCAAGCAAGCTCCATCTTCTCTACCAAAGCAGAAGTTTTTAAAAGAAACAAGTGGACTCCAGGTAGTGAGTGGCTTTTCTACAGACCTGGGTATGGGATAATACTGGCTAGCTTCATTCCCTGCAGAAAAACCTCCCTAGTACCTTAAACATGCAAGGAAAAGTACCTCTTTTGGGGGGGGGGGGGCAATACAAAAACAGAAGAGACTAGTAAAAGGACACAAAGCAACACAAGGCAAGGAGAGTTTCATATAAGTGACTCCTGTTTCACGCCGAGTACAAACACGTTTCATGAAGTACCTTCCCCAGCTGTGCAGCCAGACCTCCTTGCAGGGCCAGGCCAGGCACTTATCTTAGCCATGCTCAGACTAAAGGTAAGACAGGTCAAAGAGGGCATGAACTTTTAAAAAACAAATACTACAAACAGGACCCCCCTCCCCAATTCACATCCCACAAGAGGGAACCAACGCTTAAATAACTTACATTTGAAAACCTGACTAGGGTTGAAAAGGGAGGCTAACTTAACTACTTAAATTACTGGTAAGAGGGCTGTGTTCCTTGCCCCCAGGTGATTGAGGAAGCCTGAGCCTCTCTCCAGGAAAAGGCAGCTAGAGGAGCCTGAGAGGGCTGCTGGGCGCAGCTTTCATGACTTAGAGCTGGGTGGCCATGAACAATTCCCATTTCACCACTCAAATACGGGGTGAGGTGTATGGGATCTCTGGGGCTCCCAGAGCTTGGAACCTGCTGCCTAACTCAGGAATGGGATCACTCTGTGTTAGCCTCCAGCCCAGCTTCTGCTCCTGTCTAATTCTCTTTTCCAAGGCAATCTAGGTAACCATATTCACAGTATTAGTGGCTCCGGGACAGGCCTCCTCAGTCCTCTCGCAAGTAGGCCTCTTCTTCATGCTCTGCCAGCACAGATCCCCCGGTGCTTGGGCCCTGGGGGGAGCCCCCTTCTTCCGGCTTCTCTAGGCGGTTGAGGCGCAGCTCTTCGGTCTGGGCCTCGGCCAACTTGGTCTCAGCTGTGTGGGAGAGCTGGCGCACTTCCTGAACTTGAGTCTTCACCAGCTGAACGTGATTTCGAGCCGTGACTGAAGCCTGATCAGCACCTGGAAACAGATCGAACAACTTAAGTCAGCAGCAGCAGGGAAGATGGGACATGCCAGGTCAGCCCATAAGCAGGTAAGGCTTCCAGGTGAAAACTGAACATAAAACCGTGGGAGCCCCAACAAGGCCAAAGAGTTTTGTTTAGGAGCTGGGACTATATCTGTGCACTCGAGTTCTTGAATTCCCCTGGAACACTAGTTCTCCATGCTGCTTGTGGCCTGGGGGAGTAGGGGGGTGGCCCAGCCAGGTGGCCAGGACCCTGAGCCCCTCCTTACCAGGGGGCTGCCTGGCTTACAGACACCAGAGGCTCAGCAAACTGGCCTCCTCCTTCCACAGCTATTCTGCATTAACAATCAAGGCACTTCCCTATAAATGAAGACATTGGCATCTTCCTCCAGCCCCTCTGCAGGCATAGTAGAAACTGCCCCCCCTTAGAACCTCAAGGCTCAGGCAGCTAGGTAGTGCAGTGGATGGAGTACTGGCCCTGAAGTCGGGAGGACCTGAGTTCAAACACTTGTCACTTACTAGCTGTGTGACCCTGGGCAAGTCACTTAACCCCAATTGCCTTTAAAAGAAAACAAAACCAAACTCAAGGCTCCTGCCACACTTGTTAATGTCGCCTTAAGGGCTCCCCCTGATGTCAATCTGTAGACTGGCTAAGGTTCAGACTCACTTATTGCCTTGTACCATTAAAACTATCGTCAACCTGCGCCTCAGTTTTCATACTTGCAAAATGGGGATAATAATCCTTGCATGACTATGTTGTGAAGAAAGCTCTCTGTAGACAAAGTACTCTAGGAATGTGAGTTCTTAGCAGCAGTGGGGGTTAATGGGTGAGAAAACAAGCTCTGAGACATTAAGTGACTCCAGGACAAGCCTCAGAGGGACAAAGTAAGGCCTCGGAATCTGAGTCTGATGCTCTTCCCACGAGGCCATCCTGCCTCTCACAACAAAGTTCGAGTTGTTCCCACAGAAGAATACTGGAAGGAGCTGTTACCAAGTAGTTACGTGATCCAGGGCAAATCCCTTCCCCTCTCCAGACCTCAGTTTCCTGCCCCATAAGAGAAGAGGGCCGGCCTCGGTCATCTCTAAGCTCCAATGTCACGTGTGGCCGTCCTCCAGACTGCCTGGGCCTGGTCGCTGAGCTCCTCCTGTCTGACTACCTAGCTCCCGTCCCAGCTCTAGCCGTGATCGCTCCTCCCGGCAGTATCCAGGGAAGGACAGGATGTTCCTCACTAGAACTCAATTCTTAGCTCCTCCACCTCATCCTGCCTGAGACCAAAGGGCCTTGCTTAAACACAAGAGCCTCAGAGCTGCTGAAAGAATTCACCTGGGATGGCACTCGGGGCCTTGGGCCTTGATTCTGCCACTAACTTACTGTGTGACCCTCTTTCCTTTTCCTTCGTGGGGTTCTGTATGAACTTGACAATCTATGAATGGTCAGGTGATGCTCTCTCCCTGGCAGGAGACAGCTCTCCGCTACGCTCTCAGGCTGTCGGGAAGGCTCCGTGCCAGAGGGGAGGCAGCAGCCAGGTTTCCCATTACGCCGGCAGGCTCCTGTCGCTGCATGCTCAGAGGACGGAGCTGCCAGACTCCAAGCTTCACTGACAACTTGCCTGTCCTGGCTGAGGAAGGGTGGGGGCGTCTGGGAATCCCACCTGAGTGACTGGCCTTTGCCAGCTGCTGGGCATACCTGTCTGGTAGGCTGCTTCTGCTGCCATCTCAGACAGACTGACGGCGGTCATCCAAGTCGTTTCTAGCTTTAAGTACTCTTCTTGTTTTGAAGACACCTGAATTTAAAGAAAGCATTTCGACCAGGAAGAGCAGAAAGGTCGAAGCCAGTAGAAGTGGCTTCCTTAAGAGGACAGTGTTTTATTGGGAAGTTAGTGGTGAGGTAACAATTTCACAGTTTGTTTCCTGGATGAAATGAAGTGGTGACAACTACTAATTAGTTTGGGGTTGGTCTGTTTTTTACCTCAACCCTGGCTCCTATGATCACCTGCCACACTGCATCTTCCTCTTGAGAATTCATTTTCCCAAGCAAGCTTGAGTATTGTCGGTACAGAGACACTAATGTATAAACTGCCTGCAAGAAAAGAGATGAGTTGGTTTAAAAGGAAAGGTCTCAACTTTTCCAGTCAACAGACTGGAACTGGGTGATTTAAAAAAAAAAAAATTCACTGAGTGTCTAATGAGGGGAAAACTCTGAGTGAAGCACCTGGGACACAAAGCCAAAAATGAAATGGTTCCTGCCTACAAGAAGCTGCCCTTGTGCTGAGGGCCAAGTACTGGAAAGTTTTCTCTAAAGAGGAAGCCAATGGACAGCTTCAGAGCCACTGGGACAAGGCCTAAGGCAGTACCTACAGAGTTCTCCTGGGTTTAAAGCCGAGCAACCAAATCCCATCTTTCTCTAGAGACTTTCATCCTCTTGGTATGTGCAAGAAATAGCTTGGTCTTCTGGAGTCAATTACAGGGTTTTCCAAGAGCCAATTAATGGCTAATCTAGGCCCTGAGCTTTTCTTCCTCATCCTCATTCCTACTTCCAATCTCCAGACTCCACTGAGATGCTGCTTCACTACGGCAGGGAAAATGCAGAGCTGGCAACATTAATCCTTGCTTGCTAACCATATAGGACAACACAGTTGACATTGATGGCCAAAAGAAGACATAAACATCTTTCCATTTTGCTAATCCATGCTAAGTCTTTATCTCACAGATTTAGATGGTTGGAAATAGCCCGGTTGAGGACGAACTTACCCTAGTGTACTCTGTGATGGCTTCAATCAATGCATATGTGGTTTGTGAGAGAAAGGTGGAGGTGCTGTCAGTCACCATAGAAACTGCCCTCTTCATCAGTGCTTCATTACTAAGAGAGTGGGTCTCTGTCTTCTGAAAAACAAAGTGTTTGCATTTAAGGGCAGGTGTCTGCTCAAACTCTTGCCCAGAAGACAGCAAAGACAGTAGAGGTCAAATCCATTTAAAGACTGGCCCTCAAAGCCGCCACACGGCAGCACTCCACACAAAAACCCTAGGACACAAGAAGCAAACTCTTCCCTTCCCTTAAGGTGACTCTCCCTGAATAAGGAATCAGAGTGTTTTTCTGATTAAAAAAAAAAAAAAGCAGTCATATAAGCAATAAGCAAGTGATAACATGCAAAGTTATTTTATGTGTGTATATACACACACATACTTCATAGACAATGATACAAAGTTAGAGACACCACAGAAGCTCCAAGCTAAATTAACCATTTGAGGGAAAACATTTTACTTTGACCTTGGTCCACCAGGTTAAAAAAAAAAATCCTCTCTTGCCATACATGGCAGCATAGGCTTGTAATCCCTGCCACCAGGGAGGCTGAGGCTGAGGCTGAGGCTGAGGCTGAGGCTGGTGATTTTTTGAGGTCAGGAGTTCAGAGACAGTGGACGAAGCCAACCTGGTGACCATACTAAGTCTGGCACCAACATGGTGAGCCCCTGAAACCTGGTGGGGTGGAGGGCCTAAGGAGGAGTGAACTAGCCCAGGTTGGAAATAGAGCAGATCAAAGCTTTGAATTGATCAGTAGTAGCGCCAGGCCTGTAAGTGGTCACTGCCTTTCCAAACCCCCTCCCCTCCAACTACCAAATAATCCCCTCTCCTCACACTGGAGAGAAAGACAAACAACCAGCTTTAGTTAAACACTGGTAACAGCTGGACCCGGCTGTAGCTAATTGGGTCTGCCTTCCAGACTGAACAGTTGCTCTTCTGGGCCTGCTTTGTGTTCCACTTGGTTTTGCCTTGTCCTTAACATGTTTCTCCTTTGCTATTTTTAGTGTAACTACTTAGAAGTGGCTGATGAAAGTAGTCATAATACGTATTCTGGCCTTTTAGAGGTCAAGCCCCCTCGATGGCACCTGATTTCTCAGGAATCTCATGGAACTGAAACACGAAACCCTTGGTTTGGAAATAAAAACTGCTTTACTGTATGACATGGGTACCATTCTATTCAGCAAGTATTGGTGGTACTTCCAACACCATCTGAACTACTACTTTGGGAAGGGTGGAAAAAAGACATGCAGCCCCATCTGCCTTCAATTTTGTTGAGGAAGTATGGCTTATACACACAAAACACCACAAACTAAGAAAGCACTGCACCAGTATAAACAAGGGCTCAAAGGTCACTCAATATTGATTGTAGTTACTGGGGGAAGGTGTTGTGGAGGGCCTGGCCTTGAGCTGGGCCTGGAATGATTGGTAGATCTCAGATGGGCAGGAAGGAGAGCCAGAATCAACTTGGTGTGTTAAGGTGTCAGTGATGAGACAACCCAGCCTAGAAAACAGGGTTCATGTTGGGAAGTACTGAGAGATCAAGTTGGACAGGGCGTGGTATGGAACTAGACTGAAAGGCCTTGAATTCCAGTAAGAATTTGGACTGAATTACACAGACAAGAAAGCACCACTACAGGTTCTCAAGTAGACCAACCAATCGGTCCACAAACATTTATAAAATGCCTATGGGCCAAGCACTGTGCTAGCCACTAGGAAGAAAGAGCTAAAAATAAAAGAATCCTTACCATCAGAAAGCTTACATTCTATCAATATGTTATGGGTAGGGTAATGGTAGTGTGAAGAAGGGGAAGGAGTGTGGCTATGACAACTGGAGGCAAGGAGACCAGTCAGGAAACTTTTTGTAGTAGGCCAGTAACAATACCAGGACGTTTGAAAGATTGTTTGAAAACTAAAGGTAACTTACAAGATAATGGATTATAGCCTGAGAGGTCAAGTACTGAGAATATGCATGTCAGAAACTCTAGCATAAAGGTTATAGCCATTAGAACCATTATAAACCATTAGAGATTATGACGAAAATACATATGACTAATTTTATCTTGCTATTGTATTTAAAAAAAATGTTCAGAGATCTCAAAATGTTTAAGTCAAAACTTACTGCAAAGGAGGCTCTTCCTCCGCAGGCATAAGACCACAATGCCAGTGCTTCTAAACCTGAATTCAACAAACATTTATTGAGCAGCTTTGTTTAAGGCGCTAAAGGTACTCCCAAGTATATCACTGTACTTTACCTGTGCTATAGGAACTGCACATAAGGTTACTCCAAAACCCACTGCCACTGTTTTGTGCCAGGGTCCCACCAAATCTGAGAAACGGCATCTCCTCAACTTTGCTACAACTGGAACACTCTGCCTGTAAGTCAGAAATGTTAAACACAATGAAGGAGAAGCCCAATCTGAAAAAAACTTGGATAAATCAATCTTCAAAGGGGTTTTTTGAATTATTTTTTTGAGGGAGAAGAAATGCTAGGCATTCCTCCTTGCCTACCCTGCCCAAACAATACCAGCCAACATCAGTCCAGTATGTTCACAGCCACTCAAAAAAAGGATCGAACCTGACATTTTGCCAAGATAGAATAACATTTATTGTAAGCCAGCAATCTCCGGGGGTGGAAACTAGCCATAGGCAAATCACCAAGAAGAACAGAGGCACCCCAGGGGACCCCAAGTTAGATAAACACCAGCCAGGTCTGAAGTTTTCTTCTCAGAACCTAAAAAGTGAGAGTCAGCAGGGACTGAGGACAGGTGCCAAAGCAATGATCTACAGGGGTTCCCCAGGCTCACTTCAGCACCTGACAACTCCTATGAACCCTTTCTGTCCTCAAATATTAAAACTCTTAGGAGTCAGAAGGCTTGGATTGGAGTGTGGACTTTTACTAGCTTTGTAGTAAGCCAACCCCCTAAGCCTTGGCTTCCTCACCATTAAAATGAATGGTACAAAACTTGCACTACCAACAACACAGGGTTGTTGTGGGAGTGTTCTGTAAACCCTAGAGAGCTAAAGAAATTTGAGTTATAAAAGCTGCACAGAACCAGTGACTTTTTTATTGAGGCAGCATCTCCAAGTGACTCACAAATCTGGCTTTGACAGCAGGTGACCCAGGAGTTTCAATTAGATCTCACGGCTGCCAGCTGCCTGGGACTTGGAGAATGGGCTATTAGCAGTCCGTAATCTCCAACGTGATTCAGAAATTAACTGGAACGGTGCCACTGAATGGGACTCACAGAAGGGGGCTTACAAACAAGCTCCTTTTCACACACGATGAATAAACACGGAGCTTTCCATACATTTCACAGCAGTCATGGAAGATGGGTGCTCTATTATCATCCCCATTTTACAGATGAGGAAACAGAGGTTTTGCCCAGGGTCATTCCGGAATGGTCGGAGGCGGAGGAGAATCCTGGTCGTCGCGATTCCACCCCCAAAGCCGTTTCCACTCACTGCACCACCAGGGCCTCTTGTCTTTGTCGGCAGAGGCTGCCCCTGGGGATCCCGGTGCTGTGCGGCCCCGAGGCCTACAGGCTGAATGCCTCAAGCCCTCTCCCACCGGCATCACTCCTTCAACAAGCATTTATTAAGCTCCAGCTGGGTGGCCGGGCATTGTGCTAGTGCTGGGGATGCAGACCGTCCCCTGCTCTCAAGGAGCTTACACTCTAAGCAAGGTGAAAACAGCCCGTACTGGCTCAGGGGTTAGAGGTCAAAAGTCTGACCGGGTCCCCTCGGGAGCTCCTAGAAGTGGCGGGCTAGCCCGAGGCTGTGCAGACCGGATGACCCAGGGCTAGGACCGAGGGGGTAGAAGGGGGCTGAGGAAAGAGCCGGACCCCAGTTTCGTGGGGGTCGGGGCGCTGGTGACGGTTGGTCCCCGCCCTCTTGCGCTCCCCGCGCGGCCTCAGTACCTGAAAAATGAGCCGACGCTGCGGAGAACCCAGCTCCTCAGAGCCGCCATTCCACAGCTGACGCCGGGCAGCGATCGCCGGAAGTGATGCGATCGCCTGGTTCCAGCACCTGATAGGACAAGACGACTTGACCCCGCCTTTAGGATGACGTGTGAAGGGGCGTGGCTTCTAAGTCACGCCCTCCCAAGAGGAGAGGAGGAATACAATCCTACGCAGGGCTCAGGCCCCCCCCACCCCCGAGAAGGGGAGGAGAGGATCTCGTGAGGCTGTGGGCCCCGCCCCTAGGGAGGGGAAGGAGAAGCGCGAGCGACTGTAGGTCTCTCCCTTGGGGGAGGTGCGTAGGGGAGGAACGTGCGCGTCTGTGGGCCCCGCCCCCAAGGGAAATCGAAGGTGGAGGAGCACCAGCGGCTGTGGGGCCCCACCTCTAGGGAAGGTGGGAGGAGGCACTCTCTCGGCTACGAGCTCCGCCCGCAGGAGTTGGGGAGGTGTTCTCGCTGCTTGGGGTTCCAGTCCGCAGAAGAGAAAGAGCTCGCGAGGCTATGGGCCCCGCCCCCGGGAGCAGTGAGAGGGGGCGGGGCTCTCACAGCTGCGGGCCCCGCCTCCAGGAGAGGGGGAGGAGAAGCGCTTGCAGCCTAGGCCCCGCCCCAAGGGGGTGGAAAGGGAGGGGCTCTCAAAGCTGCAGGCCCCGCCCCCCAGGAGGGAGGAGAAGCACTCGCGGTCTAGGCCCCACCCCAAGGGGCGGTGTAAGGGGGGAGGAGCTCTAGCGGCTGCGGACCCCGCCCCCCAGGCGCCTAGGAGCGCTAGGTCCCGCCGGGCAAGCGCCCGGGAAAAGACATAAGACCCAGGAGGAGGACGAGGACTGGGAGGAAGAGGAGGACCGGTTAGAGGCTGAAGGCCGTCTCGAAAGGGGCGGGTCGAAGGTCTCTCCCTCTCACGTGGCTTTCCCCGCCCGCGGCCGAAGTTGGAAAGTTTGGGCCGGATGGACGGGCGCTTGGTCCCCGGGGCTGGAGGACTGGTCGGGGTGGCGGTCCGGCCAGGCCCATGGTGCCCGGAGCTGTCACTTCAGCACCAGGAAGTAGGTGGTCCAGCCGGCGAGCAGCAGCGCCCCGATGAGCACCGTGTAACTGAACAGCACGAAGGCGAGCAGCTCCCGCAGCGTCCGCAGCACGTGCACCGCCCACGAGGGCCGCATCGCGGCCCCACTCTGCCGGCGGCGGGCCGGATCTGACCTGCGGGGAGGGGCGAGAGAAAAAGGACCGACCGAGCTGGAGCCCCCGGGGCCCGCAGTCGGCTATTTCCAGCCCAGGCTCCATAGCATTAGCTCCCCACTCTCTGCATATTTAATGCGGTAATGGACGTTAATGGACTAGCCGCCCAGCCCAGCTGGGAAGGGGCCCGCGGGGCTGGGGCTGCAGCTGCAGCTGCTCAGCTCACCCTTTCCTGCTGGGGAGTAGCGGCCCCGCTCCTCGGCCCAGCCCGGCGGGGATGGCTCACTGGCCTCAGCTGCCCAGACACTCGCCTCCCTCGCCCCCACCCACCTGCTCGTCGGAGCCTGGAGTTCGTGGTCAGCCTACAGACGCTGGAACTTTCCTTCGCAAGAGTTCTCTCCTCCGACTCTCCTGGCACAGCTGCGGCCGAGTGCCACGTCGGTCCACTGGTGGGCCGGTCGGTCCGGGAGCGGAGCCCAGCCCGAGGGTGAGTGTGCGCTAAACCTAGGAGCTTCGGGCGGAGTGAGCTAGGAGGGGCCTGGGGCTGGAGGGTCCGCCCCCCATCTCCTCCGCCCGCCAGTGTCAGGGCGCGCCTTTCTGCGTGGGTTAGTCCTGCAGGACGCTTGGGGGCGCGTCCCGCCCTTTCTGGCCTCGGTTTTCTAAAACCCAAACCCAACCGGGTGTGGTCCAGACAGTTCCTTCTATATATAACCGGCAGCCTCTGACTCCGAGCCCAAGGAAAGTGGGGGAGGGTTCATCACTGCTGGCCAAGGTTACATTGCACGAGGCTGGTGGGTCCCCAAACCAAGGCTGGGGTCCTAACGAAAAGGTGTCTGTTTTTTGTTTGGAAAGAGGGGAGAACACGGGAGGCTTGCAATGATGAGAGATCAACAGATTTACATTTGGAAGGGCCTTCCGACTTATGTGGAAACTGAGGCCCACAGGTCACATAGTAAATGGCAGAGCTGGTTTGGCCCCTGGTCCTGACTCCAAATTCAGGGCTCTTTCAGAGCCTGTCTGAGCTTCAGAGATTGGGAGGGAGGCAAACTAGTGCAGAGGTCTTAGAAACTAGAGGTTCAGGAAACAGACCTATCCTCCATTTCTAACTGCTCCACCTGTACCCCATGCTGAGAGGGCTATCCCCTAAACATGACAATTAAAGCTAAGAATCCAAGAGCTTGTGCTGTTCGGGGTGATTCTGTTTGGAACCAGCATATTTTAAAAGTAGAGAATCTTTTTTGACCTTTAAGCAAATGAGCTGGATGGAGAAACAAGGCTTTCCGTTGTCTTATCAACCCTTTTCTCAGCATCATCATCCAGAGGGTAAATGGTTCCTTAATGTAATCAGGATCTCTTATTATCGAATTATTGCCTCAGCAGCAGCCAGGCCAGAAACAGGAGCAGAGCATTATCAAGTTTTTCAGGAAGCCTGTTAGCAGTAATTGCTCCTCTAGAGAGTTGGTCATCCAAAGGGCTTCTCTGTCTGTTCTACAGGAAAAAAATCAGCCTGCCTGAGCTTCTAGTAAAGACAACATCACGACATCTGCTCACACAGCAAAGTCAATGCACGAAAAGATGTTATGAAAATAGCCCTTGAATTTTATCATTTTAAGGCATTTCACCATGAATTCTTTTACCCTCTTCCAAGCTCCTTCCCCAAGTCTTCCTTCTTCTCTGTCCTGTTCATACAAATGGAGTAACTCGGGTATAGGAACACTTAGTGACCCAAAGTTCACACCAAAGTGTGCTGGAAAGAGTTCCTTCTAAATTGCCTTCCCACGCCATCAGCCACTTTGGGTTCCTCTTTTCTCTCTGAACCTTCGGGGAACTTCCAGGTGTGAAACTCCTGCTGCTCACTTGCAAACTGGCAATTAACATGTAATTTATCATCCTGGAGTGGACTGACTGAGCATAGGGGGTTTATTCCTGGACACACCGTGAGGATGTGTCAGAAGGACCTGCACCTGACCACATCTCCCTGCCTCCCAAGGCTACCAGCTAAAAAAACAACGGTTCTGCACTTGCACTCTTTCCTGTCGCCTTCCATCATTCTCAAATTACATTTATTGAGTGTAGCTGTGTATAGGCACTGTGTATATGGAATACACTCAGAGAGTAAAGCAAGACAGCCAGTGTGAGGGGTCCGTATTCCAGACGTTCTTCTTCAGTCACTGAGATGATTAGAAAGATGAAAGAACACCTATGTGTTCCCCAGGTGCAACTGTTTGAAGTGCACCAACTGTGGATTTCCTTCGGGTGAAGGGTTAGGCCTTAGTGCCCAGAGTGGGAACAACAGAAGACAGATGTCTGATCAGTGCTTTCTCTGCTTCAATTCAAACAGGGCTGTGATGAGATCTAACTAGGAGACACGGAGCCCCCAAGCCTCCACAGAGTTATCCCAAAGGAGCTAAACGTGCCACTGTTAATCCTTGCACCTTTCAGTCCCATTGCCAGTGGGAGAGCAAGGATCATTCTCTTGTTCTCCTGAAAACTACAGTTAATACTTGAATTGAATTCTCTGATATCATCCAAAGTGGTAGACAAAGCTAAAAGTGTACCTATGTAGACATCGTCATTAAAGAACTCTCAGTTTAATACAACTGTCTCCTCAACTACACAGAAGGCCAGACATGATGTAAATAATACACCCTTTCCAAGAATAAATGCACTATTCACAGCCTTTTTTTCAGTGAAAACACACCCCTCAGAGACAAAAGCTGCCCAAGTATTGAACGAACTTACACAAATGAGCATTATATGTAATTACCAGTTGCTTTTTATTTGTACACGAATGAAGCAGTTGCTGTTTCTAAGTCTTCCACTGAATGGCTTATTAAAACCTGACTTAACTTTCCTTATAGCATAGGATGAAGGGGTGAATGTTAGCACACTGGGCACAAGTGACTTGCCTGTAAACAGGAGAACACGTAGTCCAGAGACGTGACCAACCTCTAAGTTAAAATCCTACGTGTCAAAAATATCGGGTGAGGCCTGAGATCTTAAAATTAACAAGTTTAATTTGATTTTTGGGGCTGAGGGACACAAGCAAATCTCAGGAGAATGAAGACAGGATAAAGACTTTTTCTAAAATCAGGATTGTTTAGTTGTTTATTCCCAATCCTAAAAGGACAAAGTCAGAAGACTAAATTAATCCTATCACTATTATTTCACCCAACCCCCCTACAACATTTCTCAGCCTCACTGTACCAAAGAGTAATGTTTGGTGCCCAGATATTCTGGCACACCAAGTTTTCTCAAGTGTCTCCCTTCCTCTTCTAATCAAGGCTTTTAACACATGGTGGTCCGGATTAAATGCCACTGCTTCAGGGTCTGCTGTTAGTGCTCTGTAACAGAGGCTACACTGGGAGAGAGATACTAGCCTTGGCCCCAGCATCCCCAGTGAGCTGCAAGGATGGAAGTCACCATCACCCTTTCTTGGTGCTGGGGCTCAGGTCCCTCAGGTCTCCCACATATTGGAAGGGAGACAGGTGGGAGGCAGATTGAAAGCACTCAGGGATACACAAATGCCACTTCTATCCCTGCTCAGTGTGACCACACTGGTCTCATTTCTGAGCTGCCATGACCCAAGCAGGAGTCACTGCAGCAGCTGCAGACTCTGAAGCCACCCATGAAGGCAATACCTGGAGGGTCCTGCAAAGTGGAGAGAGGAAGGCAGAGAACCTCCCTGGGCCAGCAGCCTTTGGGCCAGCCTTGGCCTGCCCACACTTACCCCAGCCATCCGGAGTGGACGCACCTGGTCAGAGCTGAGAGATGGAGAGCAGCACAGGGATGAGGGGATGGAGTCTCCATTTTTATTTCATTCTCATTGGCTCAGAGCTTGAACCAGCCCAAAGCAAACATCACTGAGCCCCCTAATACAATTCCATGGGGCCTCTACTGAGGATCCCAAACACAGAACATGTGGGTCTTTTGTTTCTTTTACCCAGGCCGATTATCCTGTTATTCTTGTGCCTTCTGAGATAAGACAAGAACTCCAGAACCCACCAGAGAAAAGCAGAACTGGAAATAAACAGTAATTTCATAAACTCTGCATCCTCCTGCCATTATTTCATTACTTTTCACTTTCCTTTAGCAACTGCTTCTGAGAGGCGTCTTTGGAGGTCTTGCCTCTTGCCACTCGCTGCAGCTGGCCAAGGATGGCTTGGTGTTCCAGATTTAGAAAGGCTTCTCCATCAGAGATTCTATCCAGCTGGTCCCGTTCATCAGTTTAGTGGTAGCAATGACATACTCTGTACCTCCGTCTTCCATCTGAGACAGAAATCTCAGGGCAGCAATTTCCGCATAGGTCACACCTCCCAGGAAAAAGACCAAAGTTACTCTGTTTTCTCCCTGTTGACCTAAAGATCGAGACATTTAGAAATTATTCTCTTAATTGTCAGCATTTCTTATTTCCCCACCCTATACAATTTCACCATTCATATCATAACAGCTCTGTAAACCTTAATGTGAAAAATCATTACTATTCCAAAAAGAAAGGCAGACATGATCGGGAACAGATTTCATCAGAAACGGAGGACCCTATCAAATACCTCAAATTTGGAACTTAGGAGTAGGTTACTAGGTCACTTAAAACTCCTGAAGTGAAAAGTAATTAACAGAGATAAAGTACTTGAACTATGCATTAACAGTCTGCAGAAGGGCTTCAGACACCACTCCTGAGCCCTGGGCAGATGTGTTACACGAGGCAGGCACCCAGCACTCTGACACCTGTGCGTGATGGCTTAGAGGCAGAGCAATCCGCTACTCACGCCTCTTTTGCAATCCTGCTGGTAACTGCTGCCGCTCCTCAAAATGGGGGCCTGGGAGCATCTTCAGGACTTCCTCAATACTTCTCCATCCAGGTCGAGCAAGTAGCTGAGCTAGCCGGACACTGAGAGGCGCATAGCCACTGTAGACATAGGATATGTCATTGGGGTTCTGTTAAACAGTGACATAAAGGAGACACTCAGTACCTACCGAATTAATTCCTGTTTATCTGTATCTATATAATCCAAAACTATTTTTATATTTGGCTTTGAAATAGCAAAATGAAAACTAATGACAGATACGGGGGGGGGGGGAGGGGGATGGGACAACAGTGAGAAAGGAATAAGTATTTATTAAGTATGTTTTGGATGGCACAGTAGTCTAGAGTCAGGAAGACTCATCTTCATGGGTTCAAATCCAGCCTCAGACGCTTCTAGCCGTGTGACCCTGAGCAAGTCATTAACCCTGTTGGCCTCAGTTTCCTCATCTGGAGGATGCTGGAGAAGGAAATGACAAACCACTCCAGTATCTCTGCCAAGAAAATCCCAAATGGGGTCACAAAGAATCAGACACGACAGAAATGGCTGAACGACAAGAAGTATACTTTACAATTAGTATCTTTCTTTGATCTTCACAACAACCTTAGGAGGTAGGCGCTATTAGTATCCCCATTTTACAGCTGAGGAAGCAGAGGCAGACAGAGGTGAAATGACATGTCCAGCTTCACACAGCCAGTAAGTGTCCAAGGCCCTTCAGACTGTGGATCCCATCAGCTCCGAGCTTAGCAGTTCAGGGTTGACTTGGGCAGTAACGGGAACGAAGCCATGCAGGATGTACTCCTGCAGACGTGAGGGCTGGCTTTCCAAGGCCTTTTAAAGGACCTCCAAATACTGAAGGTGAATCTCGCTATTAGATGTGGTCCCAAGGCACAAGCCAGATACAAATAACAACATCACAATTTAGCACAGATCAATAAACCAGACAAGGCCAAGGGGAAGGGGCTCCATCACCTGCTCGTTAACATCATCCATCCAGAGCCGCAAGGTTTTCCTGATTGTGGGGTAATTGTTTCTACCACCCGCCTGAGGTCTGAGCAATCCAGCTTGTTCTAGATTGTTTAAGGTCAGCATGTGTTCGTAGCCATAGGTCTGCAACAAAAGGGTGTTTACACTGATACTAGATGAGGAAAGAGGTTGATGCTACTTTATGAAATGAGTCATCCCAACGAATCTGTTGTGTCCAGGTCTGTCTGGTGCCCCGAGCTGAGACTGACCGGAGCTTTGTGCACTCTTACAAGACAGCTTAGGAGGGCAACATTCTAGTTTCAAAAATGCTCATGTTATAATACCGAGCCGGCTCATTATCTCTTAAAGACATCTTTAAATTTACTTTTAAAAATATTCCTAAGGGGGCTTTGGGGTGTCTATTCAAACCAAGTTAAAAATAGCGACACTTAACACAGAAAGGATAGTTTTAAGAGAAGAAAAGCAAAGGCAGCATTTGTCATAAAAGAAACTTGCAAAAAAATTCTTAAAATGTCCACTGCTCCCTAATATGCAACACACACACACACACACACACACACACACACACACACACACACACA